GCCAGGAGGTCATCCGTCTGCCCACCGCCGGAGCACTGGACAAGGTTGGCCAGACCTTTGCACGGCTGGCCAACAGTCCAGTGTTCTCCAGGTGCGTGGGCTCCATCGACGGCTGCCATGTCCGCATCAAGACCCCCCCAGGACCTGAGGGCCAGGATTACCTCAACAGGAAGCTCTTCCCATCCATACAGTTGCAGGCAGTATGTGATGGGAAGGGCCTCTTCATCAACACCTTTGTGGGGTATCCTGGCTCTGTCCATGACACCAGAGTTCTGAAGAACAGCAGGCTCTACAGAGCGGCTCTGTATCCTCCCCCAGGTGAGGCTAACTGAAATTACATCAACATCCATCAATAACTGTCAGTATATTAACTTGTGGTTTCCCCACTGTCTGCAGGGTACTTTATTGTGGGTGATGGTGGCTACCCCTGCACTGAACAACCTGTAGCCATCATCACCCCATACAGAGAACCACTGGAAGGGAGGGTGCAGAGCCGCGTCAACCACCATCATGCCAAGGCCCGTTGCATCATAGAGCGGGCCTTTGGCATGTTGAAGACACGGTGGAGAATGCTGTTCTTCAGGGCTCTGGAGGTCAACCACACCTTTGTCCCCTCCATCCTCACTGTCTGCGTGGTGCTACATAACATCTGCCTGACAGCGGGGGACATCCTTGAGCCCGTCGAGGATGTCGGGGACATTGGTGTGGTTCCACCACGTCCAGTGAGGGGGGAACGATGCGGACATGGCCAGCGAGACCGACTGGCAGGGCTGCTCTCCGCTCCTCGTGTGCAACCTGTGGAGCTGCAGGAGCATGATTACCTGTAGACCTTGGGGACATGAAGGCCTGGGACATGGGCCACCACACTGTATGACGGGCCGTGTGCCTTTTTTGTTTCAGTTAGTGTGTATATCTATCTATCTATCTATCTATATTCCTTAGTTGCCTGTGTTGTCTAAGTTTGAGTTGTGCAACATTCCTTTGCACATTACTCTGAACAGGAATGTGTGAGCATACACTGTCAATTGTGTGGCTGAAATCATTGTTAGATCCAGAATGTCAGGTAACACAGATTCAAGACTGTTGTCCACAACTTAACCATTTAATTGTTACTGTCAGACGTGAATATACTGTGACATAGAATGCATATAACACTGTACACAAGTTAAATGTGTCTTGTATTGCGAGATGTATCAATATAACAAAATAAATATTCCAACTTCAAATGCTGCAGTTTCACTGCAAGGTATCAATATAACAAAATAAAACTGAAAACACTGCAGTCTGGCAGGTACTTATCAACACAAAATTAAAGCATAACTGAAAACACTGCAGCACAAAAAGTCAAAAGAGGAGGAAATAAAAAACAAACTCAAAACTTCTTGGCCACCTCCTCGAACAGGTCCAAGAACCTCTTCCTGTCATGCTTCATGTCTTCAAGACGCTTGTCATCCTTGGCAGCCTGGTCCTTGAGGAACGCCAGCACTGTCCCTCTGGTGGTCCACTGTCTCTTGGGTGGGGGACAGGCAGAGGTGGATGGCCCATCATCCCCCTGTGTGGTGGTGCTGCCACTTGTGCCAGGCTGTGCACTCTCCTCCTCCTCCTCCTCCTATGCCTGCTTCTGGAAGATATCAAAAGGGATGTGTCAGTGTGATGTAGACATACAATCACTAGAATTTACTACATTATGTATCCAACAACAGTCACAAATGCGTTATCTGAATGTGACCTGAGCTCATGAGTACAAAATCTCAACTTGTATCGGATCTTAAGGTTGTCCCACTTCTTTGACACTTGGGCGGGGGACATCTTTCCCTCCACACCCAGTAACTGTGTTATTTCCCTGTGAAGATTGAAACATGTCAACTTATTGCATCCCTGGTATGATCCCAGACACCAGATATTTAAGTTGAATATAAGTACATAGGTATCTCTCTGAAATCAATAAGATGACA